TGAACAAAGTATTCCTTCTATAAGCCTGTAGGCTGTCAGTAGAAACTACAATATATTTTCTGTCGGTAGTGGTGTAAATTAAATTCTCTGCGCTTGCGCGGGATTTCATCTAGTATACTATATGAAAACTGTACTTTTCTGAAAAAATTATATGCTTCAACAAACTCGTTTATTTAAATTTCTCCGGACACATCGAAGACAAGAAGACTTCGTAGCGTGGTGGTTAAAGCGTTTATTCTCGCGCAAAATCCGAACTTTGTACAGAATTTGAATCAGGCGTGAAGCTTTTTTCCCCTTTTCCCTTACCTTAAAATATTACTTTTTATTAAATTTTAGAATTGAGAATTTTTTTTCTCAGAGGGGGGATTGTCGTCGTCTTGAACACCTCCACTCTTTGCAATAACTTTTTACATATAGCCATTTACTAAAATGTACTTTCTGTCAGCGGCTTGTTGAAGTCTTCACCCAAGGAAAAAAAATGCTGTCACAGCCAAGTCATTTAGTACATTGTTTTGAAAACAAAAAGTGGGTGTCCTTAATATGTAAACTGCATCCGATACAAGCGTGTGCTACTACTGATGTCTGCTATAGATAAGAAAAATCCTTTCAAATATGTGTGTCCTGCAAGAATAAACACCGAGGTCTACAAGTATACGGTTATGAAGGTGATAAGCGAAGACAATTCCCCGGTTCAAAAATGATACTATATGCGTAATAAATACAAAAAGATGGTTACTGTAGGACTCAAACTCATCATGAACAGCATGAACACTTGCAACTAGCTTTTAAATAACTCTTGGTGATCGAGTTTTACATGAAATATTTTTCAAGCTACAAAAAATAGTGCATTCAGAAGTCTGCACCTTACAAAATGCAGTCTAAATTTTCTACCAAAAATTGGATTTTTCATAAAGTATATATACAGTGCTGCTATCCCACAAGTTGACATGGGATGGGTTTGGATAGGATTCAGGATTGGGGATTCACGATAGAAACATATAGTAGTTAATCCAATCCTATCCTATCCTATATCCTACAGCCAATCAGATTCGAGTAAAGGTTGATTCATATTTCAGAATTAATTACAAAAACGGAATATGTTTTAAAACGTTTACAAAAGAAATATTTATAAAATTACGATAGAAAATAAACATGTTTTGTTTATTTTAACACAAATTAATAATTAACTTCGAGTGACATTGCGTACGATTTAACCGTGAACGATCACCGGAAGAATCTTCGCATGTAAACAGCGAAGAGTTCGGACATCAAGAGATCTTATTTTCTTCAGCATGTTTGGATGATTAAGCCAATCCCTACTTGTTTTAAAGTTCAATAACATGTAATTGTGTTAAATGTGCTCTGTTTGTCTGGATAATTCTACACTACACGAACTGTTAACGGTGGACTTGAACAGATCGATATCGAAGTTGTGTGGTGCAAGAACATGTAAGTATACTACACACTGTACATGTGTGCATGTTCATACATTTCCCCCTTTAAACAATGTTATAATGACTTGAGCTATCAAAATTTTATTCTATTATAATATAGACAAAAATCGGGTGTGGAAAAATAGGTAGTGTAGGAAGGGATGGGGTTAAAAATTTACAAATACTCTGTCATGATTCAATGTGTTCTAAAACAATGTATTATGCCTTTTTCAGTTTGTTATTACTATACTATTTCCCTACTGTGGTTTTAAAAAAAATGATTTTTTTATTTGAGCGCAATTATAATAAAATAAAGACAGAATCATTTCTTATGCTACTGTTTAAATTGTATTATAAGCCAACTCAGCACTTACATGTACATTGTATGTATGACCTATTCTGGGTTATGCATTATAAATTAATCAAGACATTCATTATTCTTCATTGCAGAAAATGATACTTGGTTTTGCCTGCCCTCATCAAAATATTTTGTGAGGAAAATGGATTTTACATTTAAAAAGTAGGTATGATTATTAACATGTGTTTATGCATCGGTATCAGTATAATACATACATATCATTATTAGATGAAGTTTCTGTAGATTCTCTGAATAAGTGATTTTTCTTCTTTTTTTTTTAAAAAAAGAGTAAAACTGAAAACAATGTGTTATTGTTCTGGTCATCATGGTCATCATCATGCTATATGTATTTTCATATTTTTTTCTTATTCAAATTTTAAGCAAAGAAGAAAACAAACAAAAAACATAAATAAATTAATACAAGCAGAAAAATTCAAAATAGAGAAAAAAACCCAAACATATGTTCTCATAGTAGTTAACAAGTTGACGAGATGAAATGAATTACAATTTACAAGTAAATTATGATTGTTTAATTAAGATATGACTATGAAGTTGCAGTATAAGATTTGAGTTTGCTTGATTTCTTTAAATGCATTACTCTGGGAGAGAAAAAGATAAAATTCAGCCAGTCGTACATGAAATGAGAAAGATAATCACAATAAAATACAGTTTTAATGTATAATGTATATGAAAAAATTGCACAATCTACATGCATATATTGTTATAATCATGATAATAATTGTTTTTTTTAGGATGATCCTGCATATTTGCTGCTGTACATATTGCAGTTCATCTCATCTGCTGCTGGAATAAATATGAAAGATGTTCAAACCACTGTACAAGAGCCCCTTAGAGTCTGAAATCATGATGTTTTCTATCAAGGAGATCGGTGTGTGAAGTATTTGTTTTCTGTGCATTGTTGACAATTTTGAAACTGTTCGGTTACTTATGACTAGCTCTTTGACACAAACTTTGACATTTGAAATTCAATCTGAGTGACGGACAAGCAGGCAAAATCATATGCATGTAACACATCATACAATTGGAAAAAGACATTGACCAACTTAAACAGATTTCATGTACATGTATCTGTGAGCTTGGCATTGAAATACATTTATACTTCTGATGAATTTGTCTCATAATGGAACATTCAATTGTTATACATTGTAGATAAAAAAATAAAATTGTAGATGAGATTTATTTGGCCCAAAACCTGAATAAATATTGTCAACTTGGTCAAGCATATTTGTTCCTCATTTAGACCCTGAATAAATTTCAAGATCAAATGTCAAGGTCAAAAACAAAATTTACTTAAATATGGCTTATAAATACTGAAACTACTGTGAATTCATATACATGTTTTATCAGAAAGAATTCGAAGGAATATGTGTGTGTTCACTGCAATGATTATTGCTGTCAATCTATCTGACTATGAAGATTTATGGAAATGTGTTCTGTTAAACATAAATCAAATTCTCACTCATAAAAATATGGTTATTGAATACATTTGCATGACACTGAAATGACCATAAACTAAAAAACAAAGTGAAGTGAAATAAGAAAATTTAACATTTTGAATATCTTGATTTTTATTTAGCAAACATGATAAAATTTTTGCATGTTTGTAAAATATTCAAATTCAAACAATGATGAACTGAACATCTCAAACAAGAATAACTTTAAACAATGAATATAAAACAAATTTTAATCATACATTTTAATAATTTTTTACATGTTTAATAAATAAAAGTCAAGCTATTCTAAATTTCTGTTCTTGGTTTATGGTCTTGTCATAGATGTATCTTCTTTCTGGATTTACATGAGTATGAATAAAATCTGAGGATATATACATGTATTATTTTTCATGGTGCTCAGTTTACAGTTTAGGGAAAAATAGAGTTTTGCATAAATTTAACATGAAACACATAACTGTTAAAACATCCAACATATCCTCCTTTTTTTCATTATTCAGTATGTGTAGAGAAATTGTATTTTCAACGGGTACGATTATTATACAGTGTTGTACCTTCCCCGCATGAAGGTATAGACATTAATAGTCTGATTCTCATAATTAAAGAGCTTAAATTTTGTTCGTTTAGTCTAATTATTAATAATCATAACATTAGAAAAGTATCTGAAGTCTTAGTTGTTGTTTTCCCCCTTTTTCCACGATTTCCCATCTCTAACTTTAACCCCATTTATTTATCAAAGTGTATAAATTCGAAAAGAAATCGCAAATACCGTGACGTCTCTCGATCATCGTAAGTATGTGAAAAATCAAAATAAAGTCGGATTATAATTTTTTTTCTATAATTATTTTGAAAGCTTACTTTCTTTACACGTTCGCTAGATCAGTACTTGCCTATGTTTTATTACAGTCCCTTTGTTTACATTTTAACTGGGTACTCGAAAATTAATTCTTGCGGGGTGTCGGGAATTAATGGATGTCGATCTCGATTTTTTTTTTATCACTAAAACATATTAAATAAAATCCATAATTATAACTGATTTTTAGATGATGGTCATTTTATTATTTTTTTTTTTCGTTTTGTCAAATTAACTCCTAAATATTAAAAAACTGAAAGTAGCAGGATAGGATAGGATAGGATTAGACTGAAATCACCGGATAGGATTGTGGATGCAGGATTCACGATAGGATAGGATAGGATTGTCAACTTATAGGATAGCAGCACTGTATAGAGAGAGAGAGAGAGAGAGAGGAGTGGAATTGGAATTCACAACTTGTATTACATTCTGACAAAAAGCTAAGTTCCTATAGCGTTTTAAAGCAAACATTTGGTCAGGAAAAAACCTTAAATTACTTAAAAAAAAATTGAGCAAAAAGAAGTCTTACACGTTTTAGCATATCATTCAAAAGTTATGGTCAAATTAAAACAAGCCTTGGTATCTTTCTGACTTTATAGAATCGTGACATTTTCTTAGTCATTTGATTCTGGCATACCAGAATAAGGATCATTAATGTTATGCGTAATTTGAAAAGAAATGTAAACAAGGTTACAAACAAAATTTTATTGAAATCTTCATAAAAATCAACTACCATCTATACTTCAGTACTTCGATTGAAATACAGATTTGAGCGACTAGCTCATGTTCTTTTTTATACAGAATTGAGCGATTGGCTCGTGACATTGTGTTTTTTTAATACAGAATTGAGCGACTGGCTTATGACATTCTTTTTTTAAATACAGAATTGAGCGACTAGCTCGTGACATTGTGGAAGATTTTGATGAGGATGGCTTTGTCGCTTTATGTGTGCTAAAGGGAGCATACAAATTCTTCGCCGACCTTCTGGATGACATCAAAGGACTCAACAGGAATTTTGGGAGATCTGTACCTCTCGCTGTTGATTTTATTCGACTTAAAAGCTTTGTGGTAAGTCTCTCTCAAAGTGTTTGGAAGCACAGATGTATTCTAAGGTAGATGGTGTTTACACATGGACACACACCCACTATGATCATTTTTCTGATACAGTGAAACATGTCTAATCCAGAATGATGTTTTGCATTCCAAAATCTTGCCTTATACGAAGTTAACTTTAAGTCCCTTTCAGCGAATTCAAGTGTTTAAAATGTTGTCTGTTCTGGAAAGTGAATTTGGCCGATTTCTCTGGAACCTGTGCTGTTCATATTAGACATTAGTTTTACCATGTTTACAGTATCACACTGTGATTTGGCCATCCAAACTACACTTTGATTTCTTGGTCATGTTTGCAATTATGCAAACTTGACTGAGTCGACCCAAACTGAAATTTGATAAAATGGAACTGAAAATTAACCAAACATGAATCACGGTATTTAATCATTTCAAGCAACCACCCTACAACCATTACTCATTCAAGTTACACCTTTAAATGACTTTCAAAGACTCTGAATGTAATCTTAGATTACATAATGTACTTTATATTTGAATCAGATTTAAGCCTTGTTTTGAACAGAACAGAGAGAAAGCTTGAACTACAGTAAGGATATTGTAACCCTGACACTACAAATACTGCACTGATTTGTCGCGGGAGTGGGGTGGGTGTCTGAGGGATACTTAACTGAAAAAAATCTCAGTTGAAATGAGATATATGTTCTGCTTACGTAGAAAGTATGTATTTGTGTTGTGAGGACACTACTAAATCTAAGAATGCTTCGGTTGTAAGATTTACTTGGAGGATTTTCTGCTTGATAATTTAAGTTAATGATGGATTTCAATGGATATCACCATACTAAGAGAAGGAGGTTTTATATGTCTGTATTGTAGGTTGGTGGTAGTGTTTGGGGGGGGGGGGGTAAAAGCATAAACTGACCATCTTCCATCTACAAAACAGTGAAATAATGATATATATTCAGTGCAGGAAACTAATTTTGTTACAGCATCGATGCTGATTTGAATGCTTCCTTTGCTTGCTGATTTGAATGCTTCCTTTGCTTGCTGATTTAATGCTAGTAATCCTTATCCTGATGCTGTTTTATAATTAGGTCAATGTTACTGGAAGTAGCATCATGCTACCGGAAGTAGATAATGAATTTCAGCATTGCCGTTTAAAGCAATAAAAGTGCCTTTTACAATTATTTGATCATAATATCTCACTATGTATCAATAATGTGAATACTTTAACCAATATTCTTTCTTTCTTTTTTAATTTTTTACTGAATTAAAACTCATTGATTTTCTGATGCTAGTAGGATAATGCTGATTTTATGTAGGTCAATGCTGGTTTTATCCTATGCTTGCTGATGCTGATCCTGGTAATGCTGTTTTTTAAATGCTGATGCTGATGCTAGCTCGATCCTGATGCTACTAATTCTTATGCTGATGCTGGTTTATGTAACAAAATTAGTTCCCTGCACTGTATATATGGGAATTAATTAAAATATCTTCAGCAGAGATGTGTATGTGTCGACCATCAAGCTGTTAATATATTTCATATTTATTATCTGAAGACCTGACACTTGCACTTAGAACAACCTTCTCACAACTCACAAAACCTCAAACTATTGTTTGCCCTCCATGGAAAAAAATCTTGGAAAAAATATGTCACGTAAGTAAACTTACTTCATCTTTTCTCCTTGGGCAACTAAACTAAAATTATTAAGGATGTAGAAATCTCGAATATTTCTTGTTGTGAATAAATAAATCACTCAGGGGTCTTGGGGAAGACAACTGATGATTGACAAATAAAGTTCAAAAATTACTCTGTGGATATATATTCAGATAATGAACAGCAAAATAAAATAAGCTGCCCAGGAAAATTGGTTTCCATTTTAGGGTTTACAAATTTATAACTATTACTGTACATACTTCTAAAAAAAAAGAATCTGTAGGTGATATTTTTCTTTTCTTTTTTCTTTTTTTTTTAAGTTTTATCTCATATAAAGACAAAAATTAAAGTACATTTTTTAGGCATTGTGAACTCTCTTTTGCTAGCCATAAAATCGTATTTTAACCATGCAGACAGCTCTAAAAAGTTACTTAATTACAAGTTATAAACTGTTATGCTTGAAGGAAAATGTACAGACAGATGTTTCCAGATATTAAAATGACCAAAGAAAAAAAAAATAAAAATTAAAAAAAAAAACGTTTAGGTCGGAGCATAAAAAAAGGGTAGGTTGAGCAACCATAAACAAAGATTTTTTTTTTTCTTATACCTAAGTAAACTGTTGGGATGACGTGTATTAATGACTGTTTATTTTTAGGATGATCAGTCCTCTGGACAGATAGAGGTCATCGGCAGAGATAATCTGAAACACCTTAAAGGAAAGGTGAGTAATCTGAACAACAAACATTTCATTTATTACTGGATTAGATATAATTTCTCTAGAAGTCATTAACCTGGAAAAAAAACTAGAATTTTTTACTCAAATTGAGATGTCACCACTTGCTGGTGGAGGGCTGCAAATTTACACAAGTACTCAGCACTTAGGGCCTTTCAGCAGTGAGGGATATTTTTGATGCCAGCACCTACTGCAACATAGGTTTATGTGCATGGTCTCATCTGAAAGACCAGTCTCCACATCCCGCAGTAGATTTGAACCTGCGATTTAAGGTATTCAATGTATAAAGAAGGGATTTTGAACAACTTTGAATCGTTTTAAACTAGTTAAAAATGTATTGCTAGATAACGATGAAAGTGAAATGAGCCAAATTCACATGTCTGATAACAAATAAGAAGCTGATCATTTTGCACCTGAAAAGTTTTTGAAGAGTTATCTGCCCTTGATGTAAAAAAGAAAACTTTAATTTTGTCAAAATATTTGTGGTAAATGATTCATTTTATTTCATATTTTAATAAAAAGAGAGTCTATGCATATTTTCACCAAGAGATTTGTATGAAATTCACATTACTTTTTACAATATCTTAATAAAACACGCGCTGCCCATAGACGTCAATGTAAAATTGAAGGTGCAATTAATTGGACAGTAATTAAAAGTTTGCAAATTACTTTGGTGGGGTATATTTATTTCATAACACCTTAAAAATGTTACAATGATTAATCATTTCGGAACATTCATTTATTAGGTACAAAATATGGTCGTTATACATTGAATACCTTAAGGATCAACTCCTTACTCTTTGACTCTAGAGCAAAACACTCTGACTACTGTGCCTTACAGAGGAGAGTTTACTGGATTAGTGTTATTATCAAAATGGGGAAAAATGCTTTTGAGTCAAAAATCATTTCAATTTCAAAAATCAAAAGGTGTGTCTCCTGTCCAGTAAACATTTAATTTAAAGCTTGGATTATTACAGTAAAACATGGTTATGTTGAACATGCTTGTAATGAATTTATACTTAAAGTAAAGTGATTTCGTTCCCCCTACTTTTAAAACTTATTATGAACTTATCAGATTTAAAAAATCACATTTGTTAAGAACAAAAATTGTGTGTCCATTACCCTACGATATAAATGTTTTTGACTGCATAACTAATTTTGACAGATTGAAGTCATAAATATCCAAGAATTATTAAGAGGAAAAATCTTCGAAAAATTATTTCACTTCTAGAAATTACTAAATTAAATTTAACGACTTTAATAATTCATTGATTCAGGGCCTGATACATTGAATGTAGTTGCAGCCAATCTACCCACCTGAGAAATGTCAATTTGTGTTTTCCCTCACTTGGATATTTATGCATTAGTCACATTATATTTTAAGATATACAGAATGAGAAATGCTGTAATGAGGCAATATAAGTTGAAGACTAACTGTTGATTAGCTATCATATAATTAAAGACTCAAGACTAGAAATCGTGTAATTATGGACTCTCTAAATGGTTAGTTGGGTCTGATATTCACTAGAAAAATATCAATATTGAACGATGCTAAGCCGAGGTCAATTTCAATTTTTTTTTTTTTTTGGAACATCGAACTATAGTAACTACCAAGAGAATCCATACCTGTCTTAAAATGTAGTCCATTATGTATTAAACAAGACAATTGAAGCATGCATGATTACTCCATTTTCATTAATGAACTGTTTTTGTGAAAAGATTTAAAAAAATGTCCAGATTACGAGTTATAACCTCTGCGTTCTCCTCTTGTAATGTGTAAGATATTATTAAGATATCAAATGTTGCAGCCATTGTTTACAAATTTAAACTTTTTGAAGTATCATTTGTGTCATTGCAATTGCCATTGCACGTGCACCGAGCCTCCAGTATATAAAGCATGATTGACATGTATTTTTTTGATCCATTTGCATTCATAGGAATTATTCAGGGACTATGAATAGACTATTTGATAGGTACTGTAAAATTTTTCATTATTTTCAGAATGTTTTGGTTGTGGAGGACATCATAGGTACAGGGAAAACCATGCAGAAGATACTGGCTCTGTTACAGAATGTCAAACCCAAGTGTATAAAAGTAGCCAGGTATGTAATGTAACAGAATATAAAACCAACGTATATCAAGGTAGCCAGGTATGTAATGTAACAGAATATAAAACCAAAGTATATCAAGGTAGCCAGGTATGTAACGTAACAGAATATAAAACCAAAGTATATCAAGGTAGCCAGGTATGTAATGTAACAGAATATAAAACTAAAGTATATCAAGTTAGCCAGGTATGTAATGTAACAGAATATAAAACCAAAGTATATCAAGGTAGCCAGGTATGTAATGTAAAACAAAAGTGTAACAAAGTAGCCAGGTATATAATGTTACAGAATATAAATTTAAAGTGTATAAAAGTAGCCAGGTAAGAAATGTAAAACCGAAATGTATAAGGGTAGTCAAGTGTGAAATGTGAAATTTCAATGTATGAGGGATATTCCTAAAGTAATATTAGTATGAAGCTCCGGAGTTCTTAAAAGAAAATGATTAAATGTTTATTTGATTGTAATTATTTAATACTTTTATTTTCAGTATGCTGCTGATGAGAATGTCAACGGGTTCTGGATATAAACCTGATTGTAAGTACAGGTCATGTGACTGGCTATGTGATGTCATGTGATCTGGTCATGTGCTTAATGTGGTAATAAACTTTTAATTATCAAACATCTATCACTATATCATTTTTGTTTACAATAGTTACAAATTTTTATAAGTCCACATTGTAACATATATAATATTATGTCTTTATATATAAGTATATTTTTATATGTCCATAATGCTTTTAAATGTTGTTGCTTTGAAAAATGCAATCTAAATTTTAATATGTAAAGAATGCATTTAATAGCTACCTAATTTTTAGGGTATAAATGGGTTGGGACAGTTTACAGTTTATGAACCTTGAAGTGGTATATAAAAAAGTGTAAACTGCTACAACCCAGTTTATACCATATATATTGGGTACGTATTAAATTCATTCCTAATTATGATCTAATTTTCATTCATTTATTGTAAGAAAAAACAATTGCCTTAAAAAGGGGGTATCGGGGGGATCAATATGTTTATGACGCTAGTCGTGACTTTGTCAACACAGTTAATAAAATATATATAGAATTTCCCATGGTTTGTGGTTTGATATGATTTTTTATCCAACGAGTTGTGTGTTTTTATCCCGGACCTTGGGCAAATGAAATCTTACATGAAATCCCTGATAATTCCATTGTGGGGTTTGTTTAAATTTCAGACACTGGGTTTGAAACCCCTGATATTTTCATTGTGGGGTATGCCTCAGACTACAACGAATACTTCAGGGATCTTAATGTAAGTAATGATATCTAACACAGTTAACAGTTTTAGACTTTCATCCAATGAAATGATCAAAATGAGTATTATAATGAAACCTGTCTAATCTGACATTCACTGGGATATAATTTTTTTGTCGGTAGAGACAGGGTGTTGGATTGCACAGTGTATAGAGCATGTAAAATAGTACAATAGGAATGAAAATAAAGGCTGGAATTTATTTACAATAAAAAAGCTTGCACAGATGTCTGATTAGACAGTTTTCACTGTATAAAATCAACAGAATTATTATGACATGTATGCTTTGTTTAAAACTACACTGAGGAAATTTTTTAATCAGATTTGGAAGTACGCAATTGTTGTAGTTCTCTTTCTTTGAATTTCAATATCATTCTAAAGTACATATATAGGGATCTGAGCTTTAAACATGTGAATTAACATGATTTAGTATTTTATGTATTAATTCTATGAAATTAATGTGCATTTTCTTTATTATACACATGTAGCATGTTTGTGAAGTTAATGAAGCAGGCAAGAAGAAATACGCGTCAAACTAACGACAACTTTATTGTGTTACTGATTGATGATATTAGAACCTGGGACCATAATCCACCTTGGCAAATGTCAGCTAAAATAAAAATGATTATATAGCGATTACATGCTGGATAAACAGTAATTTTCGGAGATTACAAAATGTAATAAGGCGGGAAAATCAGAATGAATTAGATTCTTTGTTGTCATACAATTTACCGCTCTTGTTTTTCAGAAAATTAGTTAATTTTTTTTATATCTCACTGTGTGAATTAAAATTTTTGATTTCTTTTCACTCAAGGACCTGAATATGCTTCCATGTTTGGATGATGTACTATCTATAATCTATATCTTTATTATATATATATATATATATATATATATATATATATATATATACATATATATATATATATATATATATATATATATATATATATATATATATATATATATATATATATATATATATATATACCAGGCTTTTGTAAAAAAAAAAAAATAAATAAATAAATAAAAAAATTTAAAAAAAAACCGTCATTTTTGACCCCCGTTTTGCCCCCAAGGTTAAATTAAAAATCCGAAACATTATTGTGCATCTACAGGACATTGTCAATCAACCTCCAAAGGATGATTAGACTATTGCGTAAAATGTAAGAGTAGTTCTAGAAACCAGGGTCTTTCTGTATTAAAAAAACCATCATGTTTCAACCCCCATAAAGGTAATAGTTAAGTTCAAAAGATCATTTTCTTCAATCACATCATAGAAATGTTGAGTTGAATTGTTGATTTGTTGATATTTGAATCACATGTTTTTATTGAAAAGGAATTTATAAATTTGGAATTACAATAAAACTTGTCTAATCCGGACACCACTTGTTCCAAAGAAAATGGCCGGATTAGACAAGATTCCGGAATAGAAAACATTTTAAACAAATGAGTTTACAGAAATGGACTTAAAATTGACAGCATATTAAACAAGACTTTGGATTACACAACATCCGGATTAAACAAGTTTTACTGACAAAATGAAACTTTTTTTTTTTTGAAAAAAAAGGTATTGATATATTGAAGTATCGATCAAATAGTCGATGTTTTTTTACAGTTCATACTTTTATATAACGAATTTAAAACAAATTGTAATGTCATAAAATTTAAGTCACAACACATCAATGGGTGCCATTCTTGTAGAGGAATAATCGTGTGATTGTCATATTGTGTGAATTCCATGTTTAAACAGACTTCAAAGAGTACGGGATGTATGTATATTGTTGCAAGGTTAACAAAAGACTGTTGGATATTGCTTCATGTTTATTTTTCGAAGAATAAATGAAAAAAGAGCTTCCTCCGTTTGATTTGTGTCACTGGCAATAGCTGATAGGTTTGAACGAGTGTTTGATATCAATATGCATTTGATCATTGAAACTCAGAAGCTATGAAGCTGAGCTTAGGTACGTGGATTCCATGAAGTCTTCGCAATCTTCTTTAATCTGCACATAGGAATCTATCTCAAACCGTATGAAGTTAGGATATTTTTTATGGTTTTGGAATGCCAACGAAAAAGTATATCTGCCCTAGATCCACTCCCTCGATATATTCTAGGACATAAAATGAAACTGTCCTCGGTGTACCTCAGCGATCTGTGTCCAAAGGAAAATAAGCTCAACAATAATACATTGTAGACCTCTCCCTATACAAAATTAGAAAGCTACTTCAATGAAGGTACGTAGCTTCTAGAAAATATCTACTCATTTGTAAAGGTTTCTTTGATAAAACAATCTTTGTACTAGAAATTTTTATACCCTGTTATCTCTACTTAAGATTTTTGCAGAAGGAGTTAACAAATGTACCTAAAATATAAAACATTTTCCAAGTTTTGCTTTCCTTTAAAAAGAAAGATTCATCTCTGACCACTGCTCTGTGTGTTTGACACGGAAAACTAGCTGCATGCAGCGTAAAGGAAAACATACTGAAATTCAATATCCGGATTTTAAATTATTCAATGAAATAAGTTTCTAAGAGATTTAGAAAATGTAAATTTTAACACTTCTTGAACTTAAAGAACCAAACGAAATATCGAATTTTATGAATTATTTAATCATATTCTTAACAGACATGCCAAAGTAAAAACTAGAAGAGTCAAGACTGAAATTCAACCTAAATGGATTACTCAGGAAATTAATGATGCTTGACATTTACGTGATACATAACATCTACAAAGGAATTCAGAAAATTACAAATTTTGGAGAAATAAAGTCACACAATTAATAGATCAAAGTATTACAAATCAGCAATTGAAAAAAGCTCAAGTCCTAAAGAAATGTGGAGTTATTAAAACCACTTGGCATCCGATTCCAAAAATTGTACACCTACTCGTATTACACAAAATGGCTTGGATTTTGAAAATTTACAGGATGTTGATTTTTTAACAAACATTTTACGGAAATATCCTGCAAGTTATTAGCAAATATGTCAGTACAAAAGTTTGATTCAGAATTATTAAATCAATTAACAGAAACTAAACTAGGAAAAGAAATTTTTTCAGCATAAATCAAATCAGTGAGTGTGAAGTACTTAATATGTTGAATACACTTGATGTGAACAAGTCAGCAGGTATTGACTTTATTGGACCTCGTCTACTAAAACTTTCAGCGAATGTTATATGCAGATCTATTACACATCTTATAAATGCTAGCATCATCAATGGTGTATTTCCATCCCGTTTAAAACAAGCAAAAATCACCCCTATTTTCAAAAATGGCGGCCACGCAGATCCAGTGAACTACAGACCCAACGTTATCAAAATTAGTTGAAAAACACATAACCAATCAAATACGTAACTTTACCTCTAGCTATGATCTTTTATTTAAATCTCAATCTGCATTTAAAGAATTTCATTCCTGTCAATTGGCAGTAACAAAACTAATAGACAATTAATTACAAGCTATGGATCAAGGAAATCAAGTAGGCATAACTTTCCTTGATTTTAGCAAGGCATTTGGTTTGGTAAATCATGATATCCTTATAAGTAAACTTCATTCATACCACTTTGACCAAATAGCTATTAAATGGCTTCATTCTTATTTAACCTCAAGGTCTCGGTGTGTAAAATGAAATATATGGAGATAACGAACAGTATTCAAGCTCAAAAGTCCATTAAACAATACAAAATAGGAGCTGAGCAAACACGAACCTCCAAAACATCAGAGGTGGGATCAGGTGCCATGGAGGAGTGAGCATCCCCTGCCGACCGGTCAAACCCGCCGTGTGTTCCTTGTCATGATCGGGAAATAACGGAAAAAATAGGTACATATTCCTCTGATTTCTTGTCCGTCACAGCAGGAGTGCCCCAAGGATCTATCTTAGACCCCCTTTTATATTTATTGTATATAAATGATCTTCCTTTACATGTAAATAAAACAGATATTGATATGTTTGCTGATGATGCAACCTTACATACATATCATAAAAATGTAGAAGGTATTGAGAATGCCCTAAACTTTGATTTGTGTGAGATTGAAAATTGGTGGTACAAAAATCAAATGGTGTTAAAAACCAATAAGACAAAATGTATGCTTATGGGAACTCAACATAGAAAATCTAAGATGAATTCTCCTGAACTAAATTTATATGCTTCAAACAAATTGATTGAAAATGTTGAATCTGAAAAACTGTTGGGAGTACATATTGATCATTCAGTGCACTATAATTGTCATATTGACTCAGTTTGTAAATCTTTGACGTATAAATTATATACCTAAACGCAGAATTAAAAATCTTCTCCCATTACACACAAGAAAACTATTCTATAATGCTTACATTCTGCCTTCTTTAAATTATTGTTTAACTATTTGGGGTAACGCGCCAGGTGCTGGCATAGATAGAGTTTTTAAATTGCCAAAAAGGGCAGCCCAGATTTTATTAGATATGGCTTATGATGCCCCATCACAACCATTATATGAAAAACTTGGTTGGCTGACCATATATGAGTTGATAAATTTTCAAAAATATGTATTACTGAACAAAACACTTTATAGTATGACACCTGGGTATTTAAGAGACTCTTTTGAATTTATTTCTTCTAATGTTTATGTTTTACGTTCTGAAACCAACTATGACCTTCGTCTTAAAAAAAAATAGAGAACAAATCAGTTTTAAAATTCTTTCCATTATTCCGGAGTTCATTTATGGAACAAATTACCTTTGTATGTGCATTTTTCACAAACTGTAAAAACATTTCAAAAAAATGTAGAAATATATATTATTACTTGCCGCAACACTGTTAAAGTCAATTCTATACATAATTTCATGTCCTAAAATTATATATGTACTTGAATTTTTATTTCATGTTGTTTTATTTTAACTATTGTACAATGTTTTTATTTCATAATTGTATTTTGTTAATATGTTTAGAGGGCCCCGAGGAAGACTTGTGCATTGCACTAATCAGGTTACCCTCTTTAAATAAATTATTATTATTATTATTATTATTATTATTAATTAACAGACTGCTAAGTGACAGAGATTCATTGTATCTTATTTCAGATTTCTGAACTAGGAAACATATTTCAGTAACCGTTCCAGAACAAAGAATTGGTTATATTCGATGACATTTATTACAATGAAGACACACTTCAATCACATATTCCCCCAGTGCAGTTATATCAAAGTTAATTATTCATTATAAATACAAATGCTATCTGTATTTGCATTTTTATTTTTATTTATTTATTTATTTATTTTTTTTTTGTTTTGAAACTTTAAGTATGTTAAATCCAGTTAAAAAACAACGATGCAAACGAACCAGAAGCTTGTTATTTCTTGGCAAAAGAAATTGCTTTTTAAGCTGGTGTTTGAATTTCCATGAGGCATGAACCGAAGCAATGGTTTGGATTTGGTCAGCTTTGACATGAAGTCAACCCTTATATCCTCAGCATATCCTCAACATGTGTTGTACTTTTAACTTCATAGATAAAACTTGACCTCTGACTCACGCATGTCTTTGAATAGTTCTTCAATGTCCGACATATTTTCTGGAGAAAATTTCTGGCAGAATTGATCCATTTCTGAAACACACTATTCTTCCAAACTTCTCATGAACTGAGCTAAAGCCTCCCCTTCCTTGTGTTCCGCAGGGCATAAATTCCCGCGCTTTCTCGTGATATTTGTACAGGATGTGACGTTTGTCATCATTAGAAAGAGGCTTTGTTGTATCCCCTACGTCAACATTGTCAGAAAACAAGAAAGGTTTAAATACGGATAAACGTGGATCAGGTTTAGCAGTGAACCAATGACAGTCCGGTAATCCAGCAGACGACAAGACAGACACG